CGCCGCATTTAAAGCTCGCTGAGCCCGCCCACTTCCAGCTGCTCCCACGGCTGGAGCGGGGCTGGGAGCGCTGGGGCTGTCCCCGCTGTCCCCGCTGTCCCCGCTGTCCCCGCTGTCCCCCAGCCATGCCCTTCTTCCGTGACCCATCCAAGCCGCAGCCGCTGGAGTTCCACGCCGAGATGCTGCTGGCGGTGCAGAGGCCGCACACGGGCAGCCTGCAGCGCCGGCACACCATGAAGGAGTAGGTTTCGGGTTGGGTTTCGGGTTGGGTTTTGGGTTAGGGGCTGGGTTAGGGGCTGGTTTGGGGGCTGGGGGTCCCCTCGCCCACCCGCTCACGCTCGCTCTTCTCTCTAGAGCCAAGGACATGAAGAACCGGCTGGGGATCTTCCGGCGGCGGAACGAGTCCCCCGGAGCCAACCCCTCCGGCAAGCTGGACAAAGTGCTCAAATCCCTCAAGTAGGTGCTGCGAGGGCGGCGTGGGGATGGGGACAAGCTGTGCTCTGAGCTCCTCACCTCAGCGAGGCTCTGTTCACCCCGTTTGGGGAAGCTGTGGATAGAGTTTTTGTATCTGGAGGAGCATTTAAAATATTTTTTGGCTGAAAACCTCCTGCTGGAGGGTGAGAGGTCCTGCCTGCGCTGCGGCACCGCAGCAGCTCGGGCTGGAAATTTACCTTAGAGCAGCGTTCTCTCAGTGCCTGTCTACAGAACTTTTACTGGCCAGAGGATGGTTTGAAAAACCACTTTACTCTGGAGATGCTCCAGCAGCTGGAGACGAGCCCTCCCTGCTCCTGAACGGAGCAGCTGAAATCCGGCGTTTCCACAGCTCCGCATCACCCGCAGCTTCTCCAAATCTTCCTCAGACACCCCAAGGGCTGCAGCTGCCTGCACAGACCTCCTGGGGTTGCATTTTCTTCCTGCCAGCCTAAAGGCGGTGGTTTCCTTCTGGCAGAGCTGCTGTGGTGCTGCCCAGGAGCTCTGCCTTCAGCTGCTGTGCCAGTGCCAGCACCAAGGTGGGAGCCAGGGCCACCCCTCGGGCACACGGGGCTTTATCCTCTGGAAGCGTTCAGCAGGAGGCTGATTTGGGAGCTGGGAGCAGCCGTGCTGGGCTCACAGCCTGCCTTTTAATCCACTGGAAATGTTCAGCAGGCAGGGAAAGCGGCTTTTGCTGCTGAGCTCTGCCAACGTGCCGGCCTTTTTCCACAGGCCCACTCCCGAGGAAGCGCTCAAGTGGGGGGACTCCCTGGAGAAGCTGCTGCTGCACAAATGTGAGTGTGTGTCCATCCCTTCCACTTGTGCTTGCTGCCAGGGGAATATCCAGACACGTGCCTGGGTGAAGCTGGGATTTCCTCCGTTAATCCCTTCCGGTGTTTGGGGATGCATAAAGTGAAATTAGCCTCTCCCTTGTGTGCACCCCTGCTGCTCCTGCCTGGCCAGGGGGAACTCGGTGACAGGGGCTGGGGAGAGCTTCAGGCCGGGGCTGCAGCCTGGGGAGGAGGAGGAGGAGGCAGTGATCCATGTCTGTGCCCAGTCTGGGGCTGTGCAGGGGGTCCATGGAGCAGAAGTGCTCTAGAACATCCCCAAGAGGGGAGGACAGCCCTTCCCAGGCACCCCATCCTACACACAGCCAGGGGGGATCCTGTGCCCTCCAGCCCAGCCTCCCTCTGGCTCCTGGTGGGGGTGTGGGTTCAGCTCCTGGTGCTGCTCTTGCTGCCTGCTTGCACAAGGGGTTTTTTGGGCAGTTTTTTGGGCAGTTTTTGGGCTGCAGCTCTGCAGGAGCTGAGGGTCTCTGGGGCTGTTCCCGTCTGTGAGCAGGAGTAGAGCCGTGTCCCTGTCCCCCACAGACGGGCTCGCCGCCTTCAGGGCCTTCCTGCGCACCGAGTTCAGCGAGGAGAACCTGGAGTTCTGGCTGGCCTGTGAGGAGTTCAAGAAGATCAAATCCCAGTCCAAGATGGTCTCCAAGGCCAAGAAGATCTTCGCTGAGTACATTGCCATCCAGTCCTGCAAGGAGGTGAGGGCTGGCTCCACGCTGGGGCGCGGCTCCCGGCGCGGTGGGTTCCTGTTCTAACCCTGTTCCTCTGCCCACAGGTCAACCTGGACTCCTACACACGGGAGCACACCAAGGAGAACCTGCAGAACATCACCCGCAGCTGCTTCGACCTGGCGCAGAAGAGGATTTATGGGCTCATGGAGAAGGACTCGTACCCCCGCTTCCTCCGCTCCGACCTGTACTTGGACATAATCAACCAGAAGAAAGGCAGCTCCCCGCTGTAGGCCCAAGGACGGTCTCGGGGCAGGCTGGGAGCTGTGTGTTTACATGGAATTGGGCAGTGGAGGCCTTCCTGGGAGCTGGTGGGAGCTCGTTGTCCCGCTCCGGACGGACACGGGGCAGCTGAAGGAGCTCGGGGCAGAGGGGACCGACAGGCCGAGCAGTCTGGTACTGCTGCAGCACCCCGTCCCACCATCGCTGGTACGACGCCTTCGGGGTGGCCCCGGCGTGGATTTAGCCAGGAGGAAGCTCCCACGAGGCTACTGTGAAGCTCCTGTCCCGGCCACGAGCGCTGCTGGAAGGCGGAGAGAGGAGGGGTTCTCGTGCAGGGCTCTGGCAAGGGGACAACAGCACCGACACAAACATCAGAACATCAGCCTGGATTAAACCTCGTGAACTGGAGCAGCCCCGGGATGCTGCTGTGCTTCCCTGAGCCGCGGGGCCGTCCCGGAGCAGCTCTGGCCGGAGCCCGGCGCTTCCTTGGCTCGTGGTGGGTCCCCCCGGGAGCAGCGAGAGCCGGGTCCTGGCCCTGTGCTGGGGATGTGCCAAGCACCCCCTCCTGCCCTCCCCCCTGGTTTATTTATTGCCCTCCTGTAGCTGGACACGTTGCTGTGCGATAGGAAACCCCCGTGTCCTCCCCGTTCCCAAGTTACAAGTGCAATATTTGTGTGTGTCGCGGCCGAGTTCTCCGGCGGAGCGGATGCCTTTTTCTTTTTCCAGGTGTGTAGATTTTTGTAAGGCAGCAGGTTTTGTGTGCCAGACCCATTCCCTGGCAGCGGGCCGCTGGGGGAGCCTGGTGTAAATATCAATATATCCATGCCCTGACGACGGAGGGGTTGGTGGTGGAGAAAAGCAACTCTGTGCAGCAGCCGCTCTCCTGACTCTGGATAACAATGCTGTGTTTGGGAAGCACTGCCTCCCAGTTTACAGTGCAAAGCATCTCTGCAGCTAGAAAAAAAACCTACATTGTCATGGTCATAGGTAAATAAAAGGAGAATATCATTTCTTGTAGCTGGCTTTTGTTCATGCCGTGTTTGTCAGCACCGCTGGAGCTGCGTGGCCCTCGCCTCGCTCAGGAGTGTAGAATCCTGTTACTGTGTGGCTAAAGAAGGGAAAATCTGGTTCTGTGGATTTCTGAGCTGTTCTTTATGATGGAGCAGCTGCCAGATGCTCCTGAGGCCAGCTCTGGGTGTAGGAGCAGAGTTTTGCCCAAAGCCAGACCATTCTCAAGGACACAGCAGGGCACGAACCTCTGACCAGGGAAATGTCCAAACACACCTGAGACCTTCTGCAGCTCTGGGGCCCTCTGGGGACACACCAAAAACACCAAAACCACCAAAAACAGCAACAAGAAGCCTTTCCAGGTCCATGCACAGCTTGGCAGGGCTGCTCCTCCCCAGCAAGGGCAGTGCTCTGGTGTGGGATGCAAGAGTTCTGTAAAGGCTGTTCAGGGTGTGTTTGGTGACCCTGCAATGTCACCTGCTTGGGATGGCTCAGGGATGTGACTGGGGTGTCCCAGGGCTGGCTCTGGCTGCCCAGAGTGCTGCTGCTGATGCCCAGGGATGTGTGGCTGCCCAGAGTGCTGCTGCTGATGCCCAGGGATGTGTGGCTGCCCAGAGTGCTGCTGCTGATGCCCAGGGATGTGTGGCTGCCCCACCTGAGCACTGTCCCAGGCAGGTGCTGCCTGTCCTGGGCTCATCCCGAGGATCAGGGATGTGGGAACAGCTGCCTGTGGTGCCACAGCCAAAGGGAATTTCCCAGTGTGGAAACGGGTGCCTCCCAAAATAGGGAGGACCTTATCTCGGCAGATAATGAGGATTTATCTCTGGGCTAAAAATGAGTGGTTGCTGAGTTGCAAATAGTCACAACTCAGCCGTGTTTGTTGTGGGCAAACAGGGCAAAGTCCACCGAGGCTCATCCATGGGACAAAGCTCACCCAGGGAAGGGATTGATGGGGGAAATGGGAATTCTCACCAGAAAGAGCTGAAAGGTTCAAAAACTGATGTGATTCTGGCTGTGAAAAAGGTAAAACACCCTAAGGTCCTGAGTTTAAAGTGATGGTTCCCTCACACCCTCAGGGATGAGGAGGTTGGGATGAACAGAAAGCCCTTGGAGAGGTGGGAAAATGTCTCACCTGTCCCAGGTGATGGCTTTGAAGCTTCAGGTGTCCCTCAGCTCAGTATTTCATCAGCTGCCTGACATGGCTGGCAGCCAGGGATGGGTGCTGGGGTCACCTGTGATTTACAAAAGCAAAGGAATCTCCGAATGTGGCAGCTGAAAATGCAGCTCAAGCTGCTGAGCACCTCTGGGATGAAGATTTATTGGGAGAAGGGAATGAGGAGTGTGGTCATCCCAGGTGAGCACCTGCAGCACTGGGGCTGTAAGGAGCCTCATTCCAGAGCTGGCTGGAAGCTTTAAACCTTTCTCACCTTGTTTCTACAGAAACAGAAGTTTGTCTTTTTTGCGGGTGTGTCCTGTGCCCCAAGATGCTCCAGCACTGCTCAGCCTTTCCTGGGCTTTTCCAAGGCACCCATCCTGGAGCAGAAACCCAAATAAACACAACTTTCTACTGAGCAAAATCATTCCTTGGACCCCTGATTAGACAAATATTCTCAGAATAGAAGCAAGGCTGCTTCCCAGCCACAGACTAAACACAGCTCAGCAGTTTGATACTGAAACCACTGACACAAGAATTCCCTGCCTGCAGTAAACAGCTGAGCTGCTGACAGTCCTTTCACCCTGCTCAGGGCTCCTGAGGCTTGTCAGGAGCAGCCTGAGCTCCAATTTGGGTGGCTGAGATGCCCAGGAGCTGTCTGGAGACACCTTGGGGACACCAGGCGGGGATGGAGGGCGGGCTTGGGCTGGGTTTGTTTGGGGGCTTCAGCATCCTCTGGGTGTGATCAGGGTGAGAGGATGCAGAGTGTGTTTGAGGGCTCTCGTCCTTCCTGCTGGTGACCCCGGGGCTGGGTGAGGGGTACCCAGCTCCTTGTCCTGCCCAGGGTGCCACAGATTCCCTTCCAGAGCATCCTTGGGTTGAGGCTGGCAGCACCAGCACCACCAACCTGTGCAGGACAATGTCACCCCTAAACAGTCCAAGGGAGCAAATACAGAGAAAGTAAAAAGGCTTCTGAGGTACAAATAAAACCAGGCTCAGAGGTCTCTGCCAAGGACACAAAGCCAGCTCGGCTGGGCCGGTGCCAGGGCAGGAAATGCAGCGGTGGTCGGAGTCCCCTGGTGCCTCCAGCTCATTGGGGAAGCATTGTTGTGTCCCTCTCATTGCTCATTCTCTGATTCCTGCCTGCATGAGGTCATTTTTACTCAGCCCATCCAGCTCACACATTCCCTGGAGCTGGAAAGTGAATAATGCTGAGTGCAGCCAGCCCCGAGGCCTGGGGAGGATGGGGGACAGGATGGTGAAAAATACTTTTATTTGTGGCTGAGCAGGGCTGGGACACAGGGAGGGGATGAGGAAGAGCTGATCCTCAGGGTGACCCCAATCCCCGTGTGCAGGGAGCAGGGATGGAGCTGAGAACAGGAATCTCACCTGGGGAAAATCTGGGGTCCCCCATTTCCCTGCTTCCCTCCCTTGGCAGAGGGAGGTGGGGGAGAGGAGGGAGAGCCAAGCAGGAGCAGGTGGGGGCTGTGGATGGAGTGTTTGCACAGGAGCCATTTGCAAGTAATTTCTTGTCCCTTCCTGAACTAATGGGACAATTATTTGGGGCCACACGTGTTTCTCATGGAAAGTTCCACCCAGGCCATGCGTCAGCTCCTCGGGAGAGCAGCCCTGCTGTCCCTAAGGTGATTTTCTAGACAAAGACAAGCAGGTGAAACTCCTGCTCCTGGGCCTGGGGACAGCTGTGATGGGTCACAGAGCACCAAAGAAACCTGCCAGGGCAGAAGGGGCTCAGGAGCTGAAAGCTGATCCCCAGAGCCCCTGGGAGTGGCTGAAGCTCCTGCTTGCTGGGTAAAGACAGGCCTGGGGAACTCAGCTGCTGTTTTAACCCTGAGGGTCCTGTCTCCCCCAGTGCTCCATTTCTTGGGTGGGATTTTGAAACCCATCAAATGTGACTCCTTCTCCTCCCATCCCCTCTGTTCTCTGCTGTGTTTCTCTGGCTGAGGGTGCTTGGATGGGCATCCTCACGTCTGGGCTCAGTTAAGTTGGGCTCAGCTGGAGCTGGGCTCAGCCTGGGCAGGGAGGGGAGGCAGCAGCCAAGGCTCACTGCAGGGTCCCCTGGCAGTGATGCTGCAGGAGCTCCTGTGCCTTTCCTGCTCCTCTTCCTCCCCCTGGCCCTGCCCAGCACACTCTGCTGGCCCTGCCCTCACCCTGCCCCAGGCTCTGTCCTCAGAGCAAAGTGAGAGCTGGCAGGGGGCACCCAGGAAACACAGCAAGAACCTGGGTCCTGCTCCCCAGAGAGTGTCAGGAAGGGAAATGGCTTCAAACTGAAAGCAGAGGATTAGGATATGGGGAAGGAATTGTTCCCTGGGAGGGTGGGCTGGCCCTGGCAGTGCCCAAGGAAAGGTTGGATGGGACTTGGAGCAGCCTGGGGACAGTGGGAGGTGTCCCTGCCATGGCAGAGGTGGCACTGGATGAGCTTTAAGGTCCCTTCCATCCAAACCAGTCTGGAATTCTATCAAATAGATTTTCTGGGGGTCCTGGGGAGGAATGGACACATTCAGAAATGTTGTTCACAGTCACTTTCAGAGGAGGATCCCTCACATTTCCTTCACCTTCCTTCTCAAGGTGCAAATTTTTAATAATTGTATTTCAAAGAGCTGCTTGTGTTTGTTGTGAACCTGCATTTGAACTGGAGCAGAACTGCAAAGGAACAATGAAACATTTTGAACATCAGAAATGCAGAGGATGGAAAAAAAAATTACCCTCAATTTCTTTGGGCTCCATCCCAGCTCCAGGACAATTAATTCTGTGTTTCCATCGAACACACTGGATGTTCCCTTTACTGCAGCAACTGCAGAAGATAAGAGCCATGACCTGGCACCAGCCCTGGGTGCTGAGGAATTTCGAAGCTCATTTTCTGATAAGAGCCTTCCCAGGGTGGTTGGAAACAGTCTCTTTTCATGGGTACCCTGCAAGGTCAAGTTGTTCAGCAAGGGCCAGCCCCCAGTAACGCTGACCAGACTGAAATTAGGGTGGGAAACGAGGCTGTGGCACTGCAGACCCTGCAGCTCATGGCACAGGGCTGCTCCCCCAGGAAAATCAGAGGGAAGGAAGGGAATTCAAGGTGTAAAACTGCTGAATGAAACATTCACATTGTCCTTCTGCAGGGGGAAGGGGTTTCTGCCCCAGGGTTTGGGGTCACCTGCCCTGGCCAGCAAAGATTGGTTTGGGTGTGTCTGAAGCAGAGCAACCTTTGCTGCCTTGGGGCTGGATGGGAACCTGGGAACTGTGGAATAACACCTTCTCCACACTGAATTCTGTCACCAAATCCAATCTGCACATCCAGGAGGGGAACAATCCTGCTCCCCTGAGCAGGGGGAGGAATGGGGAGCTCCTGGTTCCCCACCACGTGCTGCAGATCCATAACTCCATTTCCAGTCCAGGACTCAATTCCTTATCCCTCAAAGCAGCATCCTCGAGGCCAGAGCTGTCTGGGCTGGGTGTCTGCGAGGAGCAGAAGGCAGCAGGACCTGCATGGTACCACTGAAAGGTGCTGGAAAAGTTCCACTGGCTGAGAAGTGTCCATCAGCTGGACCTGCTGCACCCCGAGCAGTGCAGGCTCCCCATTCCCACCTGCCCATCCAGCTGGAAAAGGACTTGGCATTTCCAGAGGAGCTGGAATTTGCTGGGAATTCACACAGCAGAAGACAGGGAGTCCCCCCACGTGCCGAGCCCTTGTTCAAGGGGCAGAAAGGAGAACTGCTGTGCCTGGGCCTGTGAAGAAAGAGCCCCCAGAGGCTGTGAAGGCTGGGCTCACCGTGCTGGGGGCTGTGAGAAGAGGCAGCAGAACACCTGGGAGCCCAGGAGCAGCGCTGCAGGGGGGCTTTGGCACTGC